GTGAATGGTGTTTGTATGTGGTGGTAGCCCCAAGTCTCCATTCGTGCATAGGGGTGGTTGCGTCTCGATAGCTATAAGGGTGCGGGAGATATAGGCTTGAAAGTGGTTGAAAGTGGCTTTCTATTTCAAATGTTTTATTCGAATTTGTTCGAATTAAATTCGAACATAAAATTCGAATATTGGTTCGATTATAAAACGATCGTAAACGTTCCAGAAACGTTGAAAATAGTTCGTTTGACTGGGCGTGAACAGACGTTCAGAAATAAAATCGGGACCAGGAGGTGTTAATATAAAGCTGCATGCAAGATTTACAAACGGTTTTTTGCGCTTTTGCGGGAAATCGAACATATTTTTATGCCCATGTAAAAATTCTCTGGAAACGTCTGGACACGGGAGACCTAATTCTTGAATTTTGTGAAAACGGTAAGATTGGCTATAATGTAATTATCTTAATCTTCAGTATCGTTACTTTTTGCCCACAAATAAAAACCCAGCGAAGCGGGTCCTTGCAGCTAGATTCTAGATTACTTAGAAAAACAGTCTTTTATATATAAAAAAAACTATATTACATACAAATGTACGAACAAATAAAAACCCAGCGAAGCGGGTCCTTACAGCTAGTAATAAATAAAACAGATAATCGATTAGAACAGAGATGTTTGTTTCATATTTATTTTTTAATCTCGTGTTTTTCTTAATTTTGGTTAATAAATTTTACTTATGTCTTGCGTACTAACTGTAAGTAGCTATCTATTATGTGGCTTTGCTATGGCAATAACGTGATTTTAATTAATAGCAAATCCAATGCTAACAAGTACTAATTTAAGCATATAATCAAATGTTTTGAAATACGGATAATAATGTATTAAAAATTGTAGCATTTGGTAAAAATCGCTACTTAGCGGTCAGACCAATTTTATATTTCTCTCTTGTATACGACATTGATCGGCGCCAAAACTTTTATGGAAAATTTCGTTTTGGGTTTGAGGTCATCGCTGGTTTAAGAAGGACTTAAGTTATATTAGGATAAATAACAAGATAATCCCAAGATTTCGAATGTTTGTTTTGTGAATAAAGTTATTTCACCTGGTTATTTTGCCGGACATGACAGTTTATTTATTAATTAATAATACAATAATAAGAATGTATTTTTCTAATAAATTCTTTAAAAATATGTGAAAATAAATTATAAATTAGAATTCGAATTTATTTTTGTATAAAGTATTGCGAGTAAATTGAGTAACAAAAATGCTGTCAAAAAATTCAATTTATTAACAAGAATATACACAATTAAAAAATATGTACTTCAGAATATTCAACTAATAATTTTAAACCAATTAAAATATAAATCAAATTCGTTGATGTAAAATTCGGAAGTTATTAAATCATTAATAAAGAAAACTGAATTCATTTTACATCGTCGTGATTTTAAATTCAATTTAATAACATAATTCGATCGGTGGAGGTTTTGTTGGAATCATACCCGAAACAAATTTTGGTGCCATAAACTGTTCTTTTTCCATCTTGCTTAATTGACTAAGTTCAGTATATTTATCGTTGGATGAAGTCGATTTCTCTGCGAAAGCTTGTTCAGATTTGCTGTTGAAGTTATTTAATAAACACAATTCGATCGGTGGAGGTTTTGTTGGAATCATACCCGAAACAAATTTTGGTGCCATAAACTGTTCTTTTTCCATCTTGCTTAATTGACTAAGTTCAGTATATTTATCGTTGGATGAAGTCGATTTCTCTGCGAAAGCTTGTTCAGATTTGCTGTTGAAGTTATTTAATAAACACAATTCGATCGGTGGAGGTTTTGTTGGAATCATACCCGAAACAAATTTTGGTGCCATAAACTGTTCTTTTTCCATCTTGCTTAATTGACTAAGTTCAGTATATTTATCGTTGGATGAAGTCGATTTCTCTGCGAAAGCTTGTTCAGATTTGCTGTTGAAGTTATTTAATAAACACAATTCGATCGGTGGAGGTTTTGTTGGAATCATACCCGAAACAAATTTTGGTGCCATAAACTGTTCTTTTTCCATCTTGCTTAATTGACTAAGTTCAGTATATTTATCGTTGGATGAAGTCGATTTCTCTGCGAAAGCTTGTTCAGATTTGCTGTTGAAGTTATTTAATAAACACAATTCGATCGGTGGAGGTTTTGTTGGAATCATACCCGAAACAAATTTTGGTGCCATAAACTGTTCTTTTTCCATCTTGCTTAATTGACTAAGTTCAGTATATTTATCGTTGGATGAAGTCGATTTCTCTGCGAAAGCTTGTTCAGATTTGCTGTTGAAGTTATTTAATAAACACAATTCGATCGGTGGAGGTTTTGTTGGAATCATACCCGAAACAAATTTTGGTGCCATAAACTGTTCTTTTTCCATCTTGCTTAATTGACTAAGTTCAGTATATTTATCGTTGGATGAAGTCGATTTCTCTGCGAAAGCTTGTTCAGATTTGCTGTTGAAGTTATTTAATAAACACAATTCGATCGGTGGAGGTTTTGTTGGAATCATACCCGAAACAAATTTTGGTGCCATAAACTGTTCTTTTTCCATCTTGCTTAATTGACTAAGTTCAGTATATTTATCGTTGGATGAAGTCGATTTCTCTGCGAAAGCTTGTTCAGATTTGCTGTTGAAGTTATTTAATAAACACAATTCGATCGGTGGAGGTTTTGTTGGAATCATACCCGAAACAAATTTTGGTGCCATAAACTGTTCTTTTTCCATCTTGCTTAATTGACTAAGTTCAGTATATTTATCGTTGGATGAAGTCGATTTCTCTGCGAAAGCTTGTTCAGATTTGCTGTTGAAGTTATTTAATAAACACAATTCGATCGGTGGAGGTTTTGTTGGAATCATACCCGAAACAAATTTTGGTGCCATAAACTGTTCTTTTTCCATCTTGCTTAATTGACTAAGTTCAGTATATTTATCCTTGGATGAAGTCGATTTCTCTGCGAAAGCTTGTTCAGATTTGCTGTCGAAGTTATTTAATAAAGTAACTTCTGACGACTGCACGTCTGTTGAAAAAGTATTCATCTCCGTTTCCGTTTCGGCTGCGGCTAAAGTAAAAGAAAACGACTTGGCACTACTTCTTCGGCTATTAAAAATATTTTGCTGATTATTATTTGCGGGAGCAATCTGCTGGGATGGCTCTCGTCGAGATAAATTTGAAAGACTAAATTTACTGCTGGAGCCATTCGTTGATGACGAAAATGTTCCGGAGTTCTTTTCTATAATAATAATATAACATTAATTAATATTAAACAATGTATTGATACATTTAAATTTTGTTTATTCTAGAGAGAGTGACATAGAAGAAAATATGTCATTCAAACTATAATTAAAAATTATTTATAATAAGTTGTAGTCCTAACTCAAGAATAAACGTTTCATTTTTGAATTTCTTCTTTCTTGTTAACATAGAATTAATGTTTTAAGTAATAAATAGAACTTACTGATGATAATTTTACATAATCAAGTTGAGCAATAATTATTTGATTTTGTAAAGTTATGATTTGCAAAATTATTTATGATATAAAATAACTTTTAATCTCTTTACTTTAGTCATAGCCTAGGAGGCTATGACTAAAGAAACTGCACATTTCCAGACATATACTTACATGTGTTTTTTTTTCATTTTCCAGTGAAGAATCATCTCTTGAACTTTGCCCCACTGTTTTGAAAACATCTGTATTCAACAAATTATACTCTTGCTTATCTCAGCATTACATAAAATGGACAGATGCAAAACTTGAAAGAAAATTTCATAAGAATGGTTCACCTAATTTTCAGGCCTTATTTTTAAATTTCAAATTATAAACACAGATATCTTCCATATAATACAGTAATTAGGTCCTGAAAAAGTGCTGTGTTNTGTAGTCCTAACTCAAGAATAAACGTTTCATTTTTGAATTTCTTCTTTCTTGTTAACATAGAATTAATGTTTTAAGTAATAAATAGAACTTACTGATGATAATTTTACATAACCAAGTTGAGCAATAATTATTTGATTTTGTAAAGTTATGATTTGCAAAATTATTTATGATATAAAATAACTTTTACATCTCTTTTCTTTAGTCATAGCCTACTAGTAACAAATAAAAGACAAGTTTCAGCAAATATTCACACATCACAAAACAAAGGTATTCAGCACCACAATTTAATATGTATTTTTCCTAACCAATAATCAATTTATCCAAATGATAATTATATTTTGTTTTAGATCAAAAATTAAATATCAGATCATATCATAATTAATATTGAAACTTCCATGTTACAATTCATTCCACTAAAAGTTAAATATTATATTATTCAGGAAATATAATAATGATATGATATTTTTATATCACAATCAGCAGTTCAGTTTCTGCTAAATTATGCTGACATTTCAGGAAAAGATATTTAACATAACAATAATAAACTAAAATAATAATACAAATGGTGGGACAAACTTTGGAGGATAATTCTTCCAGGAAAATCAAGAAATCATTATTTTGAGAAATCAAACCTCATGATAGTGTCAGATGAAAAAGGGTTTTTGTTACATAACTCTCTAAATTATATAGATCTTGTAAGAAATACTTAGAATGCTAATCATATTCATCTATCCACATGTAGACATTGGAGCATGGACTGCCACATACTTTTGAAGGTTCCAAGCCTTGTGAATGGGCTTGGAACCTTCAAATGTGCAGTTGTCAATGATGTGATGTGTTGCAATAGCATGTCTACACTGTCATTGGGGGAGACATATACTAAAATGAGCTGGCTCTTTCAAGAGTTATGCAATAAAATCTGTCTTTCACCTGACACTGTCATAAGAGGTTTTATTTCTCAAAAACTGCACATTTCCAGACATATACAGTGAAGAATCATATCTTGAACTTTGCCCCACTATTTTGAAAACATCTGTATTCAACAAATTATACTTATACTTATCTCAGCGTTACATAAAATGGACAGATGCAAAACTTGAGGAAAAATTTCATAAGAATGGCTAACCTAATTTTCAGGCCTTATTTTTAAATTTCAAATTATAAACACAGATATCTTCCATATAATACAGTAATTAGGTCCTGAAAAAGTGCTGTGTTATGCAAATCTGTGCTATACAAAACAGGGTTAAGTTTCAAAAGTTAGCAAAAATATACTATTCTTTTTTGTGATTAAGAGAAATATGTTTATTAAAGCAATGAATAATTATCTAACAATCACAATCAAATTGAACATTAATATTAATTTTTTCTTCATTGCTAAACACTGTTAAATGAGGATACTGTCTTTTTGGCAAAATATTGTCACTTTCCTGTTGACCTTAATCTGAAGTATCAGTAATCTTGAGTTTTATCTACTTTTTTCATAAAATCTGATATTATCATGTGCTTGCATTTGCCTAGAAGATGTTTAAAAATTTTATTTTTTTCTGTAGTAATTTTTAATTTAATATATAAAAACAAAACATAGCAACAGTCTTTTGGATTCATTTAGATCACTATCACCAACACCTAACTTTCCTATAAACCCTGGTTTATAGGAAAGCTATCAATAGAATAGAAAGCAAGGACAAGGAAGAAAAGTTGTGCAATCAGTTCTTATTAAAGAAAACTGGGCAAAAGGCACAAAACAACATAAAAAATTTCAACATTCTAAAATCCATGAGCAAATATGAGACAATATGTGTGCCTGCTTGAATAAAAATAATTGAATGACAGTGTTTGCACTTAAAAATTGTGACATTTTGTACCGAGATGTCTCCAATTCTCAAACCATGTTAGAGTGAAACTGTGTTGTACAAAGGATATCTGTAATATCTATATCTAAAGAAAAGAACTAATATGCAATTATCAAAATGCAAAAAATTTTAGATTATATTTCTGTGCTTGATGACTCTGGCAGGAGATATATAGCATTTCCATTCTGAAAATATTTAGACATCATTTTAAAACCAACATTATTTCTAGAAAAAATATTTCTTTTGTTTATCATATAGTTCAAATTTCAGAAATTTTGATATTCATTATGTGTGATAAAGGAAGGCATACAGTTAATTCCAATAAAATCATTAGAAAATTATTTAAACACTGATAAAACATTCAAGTTTTCAAGTATAGCCACTATCAATATGATATATAATCTGTAACTTTTAAGATCATCTGAAATTGTGGAATCATCTGAATTAATTGTATATTAATTGAGTATTTTTCAAGTTAATTTTATTTATGGTAAATTAAAGAGCATTAATCACAAATAATTTGTTAAAATAAATACAGTAAACCCCCACTAATTCAGACTAATATAGGATGAAGATTGTTTAACTTGAAAGTTAACATTGTGATTTTTCTGATGAATATGGATATACTACACAATCATTATACTATTGAATTTATTATTACAAGAAATTAGCTCAAAAAATTTCATGATAGTACAGTATACAACAATGTGTAATCTTTCATTACATTACTTACTGACTACAGTGATATAATGCACAGTATTGCAAATATATCAAAAACACTTATTAATTACAATTTTTCAATTGCCAAAAAATTTTTAAATTACTGTTTCAAAAAATTTGAGTTAGCAGAGGTTTACTGTACTTAAGTTTTTAATCATACCTATTCAAATCAAACAGCTGTATTTATTTTATGTTTTGACCTATAAAATATTTTTGAATTTATTTCATTTCAAATTGATGAGAAAGAATTATAAAAAGCAAAACTCTGAATATGTGAATGTTTTATAAATTCTTTATAACAGGAAAGATTTAACAGTAATTCTAAATTATCTGTTGAATACGTTAAAAACAGTGTATTACTTTCAACATGTTATTTCATTTATTGCCTTGTTTCTCAATATCATTTTGATCAGGAGTTTCCAACTTTTCTTGATATTTGATCCCTTTCCAAACATAGATTTAATTCACTGATCTCTTATACTGATACAAAAAAAAATTAATTAAAACAGGATGAAATAAAAAAATTCAAGATGATTTTTATGCTTAATAAGCATTATTAATTTTCACTAAACATGAATCAAAATTCAAAATTGTGTTTTGCTTTATTTGAATTTAG